GCAGATGATATCATGTCAGTTAGGAACCCCTGGAATAGATAAATCCTGAGAAAACCGCTCAAAACCATCGAAAAACGCGTCAGGGGGTCAAAACAGCGCGACGGGTGCTGCTTACCCGCAGGGGGCGCGGGTCGGCGCGGTCCTACCCGTGAGGGCGCAGGTCGACGCGTCAACCCGCGCCGGCCACGGGCCAGACGTGCAACCCGTGCGCGGCCGGTTTCAGCGCGGTTCGACTCGTGCAGGCAGCGGGTTTTTGAACTGTTTGGTTTTTTTCCCGATTCTTTGGGACTTGTTCTTTTCGCCATTTCATGTATTTGGTCGAGTTGTTGACATGTACGCTTCATTGCAGGACTGACCGTCGAACGCGCGTTGGTTGACGTGTGCGCGTTGGTTAATGTGCGGGTGTTGATTGATGCACACGAACTGATTGACGCGCGCGTGTTGACCGACGCGCGCGAGCTGATTAACGCGCGCGTGTTGACCGACTCGCGCGAGCTGATTGACGCGCGCGTGTTTGTAGGCTGTCTAAAAATCACTACAGATAGCTAATTCCCATCAAATACCAATTATGGAAGTTACAATTTGACGGCTTCCATAAGACTATAATTTGAAGACTTTCACGTGGATCGATAAAGGTTACAATCTGACGACATTCGCAACAACTGATGAAAGCTCTAATCAACAGCCTTCACAATCAACATCGGGAGTTACAATCTGACGACTCTCACATTTTTAAGGAGCCAAGACGAAGATTACAAGATGATGATCTTTACAACGCTCTAGCAATAGAGACTACAAATCGACGGTCTCTTCAAACCAAAACGCGGATATCTCTCAAACCGTAAGGAATTTGGCAAAACTGACAGAGCAAACCGAATCCTATGGGGTGGGTTTGGTCGGCTCCATCTCGTCGAGATAGCCAATTTTTATATATAATTCGTCCAATTCCGACTTACGGTTTGAAAGTTATGACCTGTTCTTCGCAGCAAGTTATGTTCTGAAGTCCGTCTGCAAGACTGGACTTCATCTGAACATTGGACTTAGCCTGGAGTTCGCCAAGCCCACCTAAGGCTCACCTCTGCATCCCAGGTCCAAAAACGCAGAGTTCATGTAGAGCCCAACTCTGCGTCCAACGACAAAAACGCAGAGTTCATGCAGAGCCTAACTCTGCGTTCCAGGTCCAAAAACGCAGAGTTCATGCAGAGCCCAACTCTGCGTCCCGGTTCCAAAAACGCAGAGTTCATGCAAAGCCCAACTCTGCGTCCCGGGTCTAAAAACGCAGAGTTCATGCAGAGCCCAACTCTGCGTCCCGGGTCCAAAAACGTAGAGTTCATGCAGAGCCCAACTCCGCGTCCCAGGTCCAGAATCCAGAGTTCATCTCTGCGCAGCGCGACCTGTGCGTTTTCAGCCTAAAACAGGCCCAACTCTGCGTTTCAGGTCTAAAACGCAGAGTTCGGGCCCATAACGCTATTTTTCAGTGTTTAACTCGTTCAAAGCACGAACTGAACGGTTTCAAAACCGTTTTCCCCATGATTTGGGGAGCAGTTTAAGGGGGTGGTTACACCCCATTTAGCCCCACTTAGGAGCTAATTAAGGGGATGGTTACACCCCTTAATCCCCTATAAATAGGAGTAAACTCAACCGAGTTAGGGGCTGGACTTTTTCATGAGAAAGTCATAAAAAGGAGATCGGCCTTCATCCATCTTCAACTTCAGCAACAAAGAGCTTTGGAGATCAGCGACTTGAAGAAACTCGTGAATCATCTTGGAAGGCTTTTATTGAAGCCTTTGAGATTACTCGACTTGGCTTGTGAACTCTTTCTAAGAGTTCTTCTCAACTCGATCAGAGTTTAAAACTTGCTCTGCAAGTTCTTGGCTTGTGAACTCTTTCTAAGAGTTCTTCTCAACTCGATCAGAGTTTAAAACTTGCTCTGCAAGTTCTTCTAAAACTCGCTCTGAGTTATTAACTCGTTAAGAGTTATTTTCAAACTTGCCACGCAAGTTCTCCATAGTGTCAAATCGTGAGGAAAAGACCACGTTCCAGTGAAACAAGACGTTCGGATCGTCAACGGAGAGCAAACTCGACGCGAGCATTCGAGGGAGGCACTCCATCGCCACCGTGAAGAACCCAGACCTAAACAAATGGGAGAATCCAAATCAATTCTCCTCTCTTTTGTAATCGGGAAATCCAATTGTAATCGAGATTGAGAGGGTTATAATCATTCTTTTTCTAAGCAGTTAGAGAGAATAAATCAGATACAATTCTTTTATTATTTTTCTTATTACAAATTTTCCAACCAACAGTGTTGACCGACGCGCGCGAACTGATTGACGCGCACGTGTTGACCGACGCACACGAACTGATTGACGCGCGTGTGTTGACCGACGCGCGCGAACTGACTGTTGAGCGCGCAGGCCACTGGGTTCGCCGTTTCGCCTCCTGCGATTGCGCGCGAGCTGACTGTTGAGCGCGCAGGCCACTGGGTTCGCCGTTTCGCCTCCTGCGATTGTCGGTGTTAGATAATCCTCTTAGACTCGGATAACGACGTTCGTCGTCTTCTCTCCGTCTCGAGCTATGTGCGGACACCCATAGATATTTTTAGACACCTACAATTATCTTTTCTTTTAGAAGGCTTATTAAAAGAAACTCTATGTTGTTTGCCAAATAAACAATAATCACAAGGGGTGAGTGACGAACTTTTAGCAAAGGGAATGAGAGACTTCTTTGCCAATATCTATAACCCTTTCTCGCTCATGTGCCTGAGCCTCCTATGTCACAAACTGAGAGTATCACCGTCTTGAGCCACGCTCAAAGAATCACATGACAAAGAATCACATGAAGCCTTCGCTTGAGTCTTATATAAATTACAACATACACTTCCTCTAGCCACCACAAAAGAGCCATTGGTGATTTTACATTTTCCTCCATCAAATTGAATTTCATATCCCATTCGGTCAAAAGAAAGATCCGAAATTAAGTTGAGCCGCAAATTGAGAACATGCTACACATTCTTTAAGATCAATGTGCATCTGATATCTGTCTGCAAGTGTCTATCACCAAGTCCCATAATCTTCGAGTAGCTGATATTGCCCATCTTCACATTATCAAAGTCACCTGCTTTATACGACGTGAAAAGGTCTCGATTGGAGGTAGCATGACATGTAGCTCCTGTATCCACTATCCACTCAGAATTCTGACTTGTAACATGCATACAGTCTTCTTCCCTACAAATGAGAATAACATCAGTCTCAAACAAAGTAGATGTAGTGTCACTGTCTGCTTTCTTCTTCTCATCTTTCTTTTCATCTTTGTTCCAGCATGCTCTTTCTTTAATGCCCAACAATTCTTCTTGATATGACATGACTTCCCATAATAAAAGCAACCTCTTCCTTTAGACTTTGATATGCCCTTGGATGTGTCACGACCTCTGGACTGGTCCTTGTACCTACTCCTGCCCCTGTTCTACGTGACAAGTGCATGTGAGTTATCTGTGTTGGTAGACTTCCTCCGAGTCTCCTCATTGAATAAACTGCTAGTAACCATACTCATCGATAACACACCATCTGGAGCTGCGTTGCTGACTGTCATAATCAGTGTTTCCCAACTGTCTGGTAAAGAACCCAATAGCAATAAAGCCTGTAGCTCATCATCGATAGTCATCTTCATGGTAGCTAACTGATTAATTAAACTCTTGAACTTATTCAAGTGCTCTGCTATGTTGCTTCTTTCTTTGAATTTTAAGTTCACCAAGCGCCTCATAAGAAAGGCCTTGTTTCCTGCGGTCTTCTGCTCGTAGAGATCCTCAAGCTTCTTCCAAAGAGACTTCGCATTAGTCTCACTCGATACATGATGAAACGCACTAACATCGATTCACATCCGAATATAACTGATCGCCTTCATGTGTTGTTTCTCCCATTCTTTATCAGTCATCTTTTCTGGCTTGGCTTCATCTCCCTCAATAGGGTCATGTCTGGCTTGGCTTCATCTCCCTCAATAGGGTCATGTAAATCTTTACAATACAGAATATCTTCCATCTTGGATTTCCATACTTGCCAATTGGAACCATCAATCTTTACAATACAGAATATCTTCCATCTTGGATTTCCATACTTGCCAATTGGAACCATCCAATTTCATTATTGTGCCAAAACTCTCCATCTTTTCCATCCCAAAGCACGTCTCAAACTAGGGATCTGATACCACTTGTTAGGGATTTTATGGAGATTAATCTGCGGAATTAAATACTAAACGAATAACGGTACCGATGAAAATACCACAAGCAAGCAAACACCAAGATTTAACATGGTTCGGCAAATCGTGCCTACGTCCGCGGGGCAATCCAGAGAGAAAATTTTCACTATGAATCAAGAGTACAATCCCTCCAAGGTACACCTGAACTTGAGAATTAAATCACAAGAGAAAGATACAATGTTACCTCTAGGGCACCAAAACCCTAAAACCCGTCTCACCAAAAATCTTCAACTCCCGTGGAGAAACCAGCACCATACCCTCGACGACGTCCTCGTTCTGAAAACAACGGCTTTTGAATCACTGCAATCGGACAACCGAGCGATCCAGAATCTAAACGTTTCTCTCTCTCTTCTTCTCTCTCCTCTCTGGTACTGTAGCAACCCTTTTATCGGGTTATTGTAGCCAACTCTGTTCACCCGAAAATTGTTTATCTAAAAATTGATCTCATGGCTCTCTTATATAGAATTTTCCAAACATATTCCTATTTCAAATAGATCATCCAAATCCTTTTCTAAATAGAGTTCTAATCCATGTAGACTTCTTATAGATAGAATTCTAATTCATGTAGATTTCCTCATGTGGGCCTTATCTTGAGCTGGACCCACAACAATTATAAGACACGACTACGAAAAGACAAGCACAAAAAGGTCTGACGATTATACAAGATATGGTATTGACGTCAAAAGGGAGTAATTAAAGTAAATATATATATATATATATAAGAGGAAACAAAAGCAAATACAAGGCGCTACCATGGCATTAGATGCCCAACAATGAACACCAAAAAGAGACTAAAAACTTCCGAACTCCATGATATAAAAGATCCTAACATGGTCCTTGTTTGTTGGTCTCTCTGCCACAACACTCTTCCAGCATGGTATCCTCATTCTGCTCACGACGAGTCCTTGGTGAGCACCGGAAGTGCTTGTTTTGGCTTAATACTTATATTTCCTGTGATAATAAAAGGTAAAGTTAATGTCAAGTTGGAACTAGGAACCTATTAGGGATCCAGTTCATGAAGAAAGTGCTATTTAACATTTCGTGAGCTAATTCATTCCAATGCTTAAATAAGAAGGATGTTGATATATGCAAAGGCATCAAGTTTGATTAGAATTTTCTCTTGCTTACATAAACATTTACAAGATGTGAGTTGGATTTCTTGTCGTGTGGCTAGAATAAGTTATGAGTTGATCAGATATGGTTTATAGAATTTCATAGGGGGGAAAAAGAAGGTTATTTCATAATAACTGACAAATTCTTGTTAAAGATTCTAAGGACATGTTTGCAACGGAAATAAAGCGTTCATTAAATATATGAGTAGGTATAAGGTTTCTAAGTATAAAACATTAAGATTCCGTGAAAAAGTAAACTATAAATAGGAATTTATCAAGGCAGCATAATTTGATCATGGGTAGTCACGAAGGGTATAGAAGAAGTCCTGTGCAGCGCTGCAATTGACTAAAATTACACATCACAAGAAAACATGATCAGCTTCGATCAAGCACGGGCTGAGAAAAATTTATGAACACAAGGATTAATTTGCATATATAATTTAAACCATGAATTAAGAAAGAAAACCCGCCAAAGACAAAGCTTTGGCTAGAATGCAGTATAAATTAAGTAATATGCTTCAGAAATGACCTTCATTGTTCTCCCATCCTCCACATTCTGGACTTCAGCCTCGCAATGCTCAGTGCAAATTTCACATAGATCCAATCACTAAAATCATCAACAGCGCGAAAGACCAGAATCCTTATCGACTGTTTGATCATTATCGTACCGAAGGCTGCCCAGAAGCTAATCAGAAACCCAATTGCAGCACCACCATAAATCCACACGATCTCATACTTGTCATCATCCTCTTCCTCTTCTTGGCCATTTCTATTAGGTGCATTACCAGGGCACTTTGGTAGCGGCCATCCACAAAGGCCTCGATTGCCACTAAAATCAGAGGCATTGAAGGTTGAAAACTGAGTTACTTGTGGAATTTCTCCAGACAAGTCATTATTGGAGAAGTTCAAACGACCTAAAAAATGCAGTGCTGACATGTTGGGAGGAATTGTGCCCGAAAGATTGTTTGTCGATAGATCAAGGGCCTGCAGCTGTGTCATAGCACCAATGTTCTTTGGAATACTTCCTGTAAAGTGATTCCGCGACAAATTCAAGAAAACTAGTTCATGAAGTTGTGTCAGTGAATCTGGAATCTCTCCCGAAAGACCGTTGCTAGATAAGTCTATAATATTCACGGATGATAACACAGAGGTGTAGTCAGAAGCAACCCCTTTGGTAACTAGCTGAAGATTCTCTACATACAGAAGGTTATTATGGAAAACAAAAAACCTGTCTTCTACTCCAAGGTGTGCCATAGCCATGGAGCTAAAATTTTCGAAATGAAGCGACAAGCTGCCTGTGAGATTATTCAGTGAAAGATCCAAGATCTGAAGAGATGTAAGATATGATAGCTGCATCGGAATAAGACCACTTAACTGATTCGATCGCAAACTAAGAATCCCCAGACGTGAAAGGCTCTCTCCTATCCATGTTGGTATGTTGCCAGATAATCTGTTCTCATGGAGATCAAGAGTAACCAGCTGCTGGCAGTGCTTCAAAGACTCGGGTATTTTGCCAGAAAGATGGTTGCTTCCCAAGTGCAGCGACCCAAGATAAGGAAGAGATCCAAATAAGTCAGGTATGTACCCTGATAAACTGTTGTTAGATAAATTAAGAATTACCAGCTGCGACGACTTGTTCTCGAACCTAGGGAGTGTTCCGTATAGGTTGTTGTTGGAGAGATCAAGGTATGCCAGTGAGCTTAGATTGCAAAAGAACATAGGACCAGTTAACCTGTTACCCGACAAATCTAAGAGACTCAATTCATAGAGGTCGGAGACAGTGTTTGGTATGTATCCGTTGATATTGTTGTTCGACATGGTCAGTTGCTGAAGACGGCTGATATTGAATAATGAGCGTGGAATCTCTCCGGTTATCAAATTTGTCGATATATCAAAGCTCTGCAAATTCGCAAGGTTCCCGATGGAGTCCGGTATCCTTCCCCTGATTTTGTTGTTGGCCAGATACAAATCAGTCAAGTTGCGTAGGTTCCCTATGCTCTCTGGTATCTCCCCACTTAACCTGTTACCCGAAACGAAGAAACCCTGGAGTTGGCTAAGATTTCCCAATGTTTTCGGAAGACCCCCCGGGATCTGGTTTTCATCCAGTTTGATACTTCTCAAGCGCGTAAGGTTCCACAGAGAATCTGGAATGGGGCCGTCGATAACATTGAAAGCCAAATCTACAGTTTTCAAATAAGGAAGGCTATCGAAATGCCTCCATATCTCTGCACCAAATTTGTTCCGGCCTAAATCCAAACTTTGCAAATTGATTAGATGGCCAGAAGTTAGCGGTAACCCGCCATGGAGTCCAGAATTGCCAATAGAAAGATCCACAAGACCACTAATATTATTAAGTAGCCAGCTAGGAATGGTAGAATTGAACTGGTTCCCAAAAAAACTAATCCTGCTGAGAAGCGTGAAATTGCCGACGGAGGTAACACCAGCGGGGAGGTTTAAAAGTCCAGCGTACTCCAACTCTAGAGTAGAAAGGTTCGGGAGCTTGCTAACGTCATAAATCCAGTCGACCGCTTTCGACAGGTCGACCGCACTCAGACGAAGGTAGTATAAAGAGGTCAGCCGAGAGAGCCAGTGAAGGTCATCAACACGCAGGATAAAAGATGAAGGATCATAACTATAGTCAATAATAAGCGCTTGCAAGCTGGAAAGATTTCCAAGCTGACGAGGGATGGTTCCGTGAAACCAAGTCGATGAGAGGTCAAGATATTCTAGTCGTGGGAGAGACCCTATGAACTCCGGAATGGGGGCCCCAGAAAAATTATTTCCGCTCAGGTCCAAGTACTCTAGATGTGTTAGATCCATCAGAGAGGGGTTGAGCTTACTCGCGCCTA